TAACTTCAACAAAATAAATACCTGAACTTTTCAGGCTTGCAAGATACTCCTTGCAATTCCTCTTCCAATGCCCAGTTTTACCACAATGATAACATTCATGACTAGACTGAGAATTAACCTTATCTTTGTTCTTTCCTTTGTTGTTCTTTGCCTTCTTATTGGGTTTGTTGGGAACTTTTCCCTTCCCCTTCCTTTTAGATTTAGAAGAGGATCCAACAAGAAGCACCGGCTTATCCTTTTTGATCGTGGATTCAGCCGTCTTTAACATGTTCACCAATTCAGGAAGAGAAGTTTCCATATTGTGCATGTTAAAGTTAACAACAAAAGTATCAAATGATGGAGGCAGAGATTGCAGCAAAAGATCCACATAGAGTTCGTTATCCATAACAACTCCAAGAGATGTTAGCCTTTCAATAAGAGCTATCATCTTCAGCCCATGGTCTTGGACTGAAGAGCCCTCAGTCATACGACTTCTGAAAAGCTCTTTAGATATCTGATATCTTATTTGCCTTGTCCTTTCACCATACAACTCTTGTAGGTGATTTAGGATATCATTTGCATTATCAAATAATTCATTTTGTCTCTGCAGCTCATTTGACATTGATGCTAACATGTAGCACCGAGCCTGGAGATTGTCATCAATATGACGTAAGTATTCTCCATACTCATCAGAAGTCTTATCTTCAGGTGGAGGAAGAGGGGCTTTGTCAAGCACATAGTCCATTTTTTCAGACTGTAGAACAATTCTTAGGTTTCTCAGCCAATCAACGAAATTTGGTCCAGTTAATTTGTTTTGCTCAAGAATACTTGCGATTGGATTTTTAGCCATTTTAGTAGAGTGATCTACAAAAATAACAAACGAAGCAGAAAATAATTAGACTATGGAATTCATATTCATTTAATATTAGGTCTTTAATATTAAATGTCTCCCACTATTTTAATTAAATCCTATATTAATTATGAAAATCTCATTTTCGTAATGGGCTTGAAGTCCAATAAAAATATTCCATATCCCAATTTTATGAGTACGCATGAAACATTTTTATCGGTAGTCAACTTTTGACAATTGTATCTCTATACAACCTTCAAGATATTTTGCCTCACTTTTCCTTATATACCTCAATTTTATGACCGTATATATTACTAGGTGTCCAAAACTTTATTATTATATTCATTTCCCAATTTTCATCCATATTATAATAATCATATTATTATTATTTTGGATTTGAAATTTAAAATTCTATTTTAAAATTCAACTTTATTAATTTAGTAATTACCTTAATTACTAAAGTAATATCCAAAATGTAATTAATCAATCTTATTGATTAATATATTCCTTTAATTGACATCTAATCAAATTAGATATTTATCAATTAATTCTAACCATTAGAAATACAATCTTTACCTTTGTTCATAATTAGTGTGACCCTTTAGGTTCACCTTAATACTAGTAGTGGGTTTATAACACTTTGTAATTTGAGTTAAATCTTATTAACTCTTATTCATGAATTAACCCTTTAATTCATGAACCCACATATTATGGGAACACCTAGCAAGTAGCATGAATCTAGTATTAAGTGAATAGCGAGTAAACCTATTCCGATTACAACTCCATACATGTAAAATCCTTTCGACATCTAATTTCCCGATTAAGTCTTGGGTATGATTTTGTCGAAACCCAAATTGACTTAATAACTATGATTATATTTTAAGTTTATTAACCCGGTTATGAATCACTATTCATCTCTGCCTTGGCCAAGGACTTTGGATTAATAACTATGAAACACATAGGAAATTCACTTATCTTCATAAGTGTCGAATCCTTTATTGGCCACTAACAAACTTCCATACATATTAACATAATACCCAACTTATTCCTTTAAACGATAGTGCTAGCTACCAAAAGGATAAATCAAAGTAGAATGTAATATGCACAAAGTTACCATTGTGCCTCAAGTCTTAGGATTAGTCATGTACTATTGTAACATGAAAATTCTTATTCGACTGAATAAATTCTTCATTAAGAATTTTCATACGGTCATGTTCAGTGAACTTGTTCTCTAACAAGCACCCACATAAATGTACTTACGTCTTACGCTAATGTTGATGGAATGCAACATTCTTGTCCAACAAGCATACAAACTATGTGCAAGTCTTTTATGGATTATTCGATATCCCATCTCGAAACATCCATCGACTTGGAACTGTATTTAAGATCACGGCTTTCAAGGTATGTTCCATGATCACCATCTCTATGCGCAACCATACCTTATAACCATAAGTGATCTAGGGATTTTATCTTAAGTGCAATTATAAGATAAATGCTTTCTCTTAAGATAAAGAAATGCCTTATTCATAATATAATTCCAATAGACTGTATTTACAAGTAGAATACGTCCAATTAGATTGGAACGCCGGGTACCCTACTCTAACAGTTCATTCTCAGTGGGCCTATGCGCAATCATTAATGAGTTTTCATGGGCAATAGTATTGAGATTTGAAAGAGAATTAGGAGAAGGTTGGACTATTGTTGTTGATGATTGCTTCAAAAACTGCCAGTTCAATTGCTTTTGGCTGAAACAAACAAATTAAAGGCAGTTTGACCTTTGTGCAGTGTTTTCATGTGAAGGGTTTATTATCTGCTTTTGTCGAGAGAAGTAGGGATCTAACTGAATGTGGCCTCGGTTAAATACGTTACATGCATTCATTGACGGATCCTCTGAGTTCTAGAGCTAGTATAGATGAAATAAATGTGTTTCCAAGCATCTAAATAACAGAATTGTGAATTGAGTTCTGTGACATTTCTGTGTGAATTGCATTTCTGCGACTCCACTTGGGTTCACTGCTTGCATTTCTGTGACTCCACTTGGGTTTACAATTTAGTTCACTGCTTGCATTTCTGTGACTCCACTTGGGTTAAGAGATTTGAGTTGTGAATTGTGACTTTCCACTGCTTGCATATCTGTGACTGAGTTGTCAATTTTGATATGATTTGCTTTCATTATTTGTGACTGATTTGAGATGTCAATGTTATGTACTTTAATGTGTCTGATTGTTTTGAAAAGTCGCAATAATTCATGTCTGATTGGATTTTTTTGTCAACCAATTTGACCTAGTATTTAAAATCACCCACTTCGATGTCTTATTCAAATGGAAAGTCACAAGAAGTCAATGAATATTCAAACATGAGCTGTACAGTGTTCAAGAACAAGATAAAGTCCCTTCCATAGAATAACAATAGTGAAGATAACTTGCGTCTGCTATTTTATGTGTGTGTGGTGCTTCACCTCATACGTTTAGAAATAGTAAAGTAAAATAATATTTGTCATATTGATTTGTAGATGGATTCGGTTGGAGAAGAATTAGCAGTTGTTGCTATATTGGAAGAGGTCATGTGTAGTGTTCAACTTTTTTTGCTACTAGCTACTTATTACTATATCAAATTCATCCGTCCTCGGCAAAAACGACGACGTTTGGGCAGTAACCATGTTCCGTTATTTCGAGTTAGTGATAGACTCCCACATCAGGTCAACTATATGCGAAGGTTGATCGATGTGAGTGACACAACTTGTGTCGAGAACCTACGTATGGACCGTAACTCCTTTGGCCGTCCGTGTCACCTTCTTGAAAGCTCTGGCAGACTTAGGCAATCTAGAAATGTTCCTTTAAGTGAAAAAGTGGCTATTTTCCTTTCAATCCTAGCTCACCATAAGAAGAATGTCACTTTAAAGCTTGATTTCGTTAGATCCGGTCGAACCATAAGCAAATACTTTAACCGAGTTCTTGACGCTGTCATCCGAATTCACTCAATCCTCGTTGTGCAACCAAAAGCAGTTGAGGCAGATTGTGTCGATGAAAGGTGGAAATGGTTCAAGGTAACCTACAACACATTTCTCAACGTCGTTCGAATTTCTTAGTTCAACACTCATGAACTAATAGGTATCTTTGGTTTTGTCTCGTTAGGGATGCCTAGGAGCACTAGATGGAACCTACATTGATGTGCGAGTCCCTGCTACTGACAAGGCACGCTATAGAAACCGTAAGGGTAGTATAGCTGTTAATGTACTTGGGGTTTGCGATAGAACCATGAACTTCGTTTACATGGTTTCTGGATGGGAGGGGTCAGTGGCAGACAATCGAGTCCTGCGTGATGCTGTTACTAGGACGCATGGTCTACGTGTTCCCAATGGTAATACTAACTATATATTACCGAAACATCACCCAATCATCTTTTTAAAATAAACATAACACAAGCTTTTCATTATTTACGATAAATTAAAATGTGACACAACAAAATTATTATTTGGTGGATGGTGGTTATACGAATGGTCCCGGCTTTTTAGCGCCATATAGGGGTGTGAGATACCACTTACAAGAGTGGGGCACGGGATCACGCAGGCCACAAAACTTTAGAGAATTGTTCAACCTTCGTCATGCTAAGGCTAGAAATGCGATTGAACGTTGCTTTGGAATTTTGAAGATGCGATGGGAAATTCTTAGGAGTTGCTCATATTATTCCATTCGAACACAAAATCGCATTATCATGGCATGCGCGCTCCTACACAATTTCATACGTACATCAATGGCCACTGATCCAATTGAAGCCTTAGTTCCTGAGATCCCCGAAGTTGGATTGCCCACAACTACGGGTGAAGATGATTTGATAGACCAGGTGGACAGTAGCCCAGAATGGACACAGTTTCGTGACTGATTGGCACAAGTTATGTTTCATGATTGGCAGAATAATGTGTTTTAGGTTAACAATGTTTATTTTTTCAATATAGGATTATAAGATTTCGGTGAACAAACATTTCCATGGTTGTTGACTTGTCTTTTTTTTATACCATTTTGTTGTGACATTTTATCCATTCATGTTTGGTTTGGTGTGTTTATTTGTTTATCAATTTTACGAATAAATTATTTTGGATAATGCGATGTGTCTTTATATTAGAATGCAAACGAATCCTTTAAAAGAGGGCTTCGTGAGAACAGGTACCACCATGGACTACTCATGTACCCAAGAAAGTGGTCGATCTTCCTCCTCCCAAACAGCAAGACGACGTACGTGGAGCCGGCGTGAGGAGTCTGCCCTAATAGATATTTTGAAAGACATGGTTATCGAGGGATGGAAGGCAGATAATGGGTTTAGGCAGGGATATAATTTTGAGATTGAGAAAAGATTGAAGTTGAAGATACCAGACTGCACCCTTCAAGCTGAACCACACATCAGCTCAAAAATACATGTGTGGATGAAGAACTATAGGAGTGTGGCACTCATCAAAGGAACTTCAGGCTTCGGGTGGAGTGAGTTGACAAAAACTTTTTCCTGCGACGATAAAGTTTGGACACAATGGGTAAAGGTAAGTTATGATACCCATTCATCATGGGATGTAAGAAAGAGATAATATTTCCAAATCATTTGTGCCAATTACGTGTATGTGGTTAATGTAGGTGGATCCAAATGCAAAAACACTTAGGAACAAGTCTTTCCCCTACATCAACGATTGGGCTGAAATATTTGGGAAAGACAGAGCTACAGGTGAAAATTCACAATCCTTTCAAGATGCAGCCAATGACGTTCCAGAGCATGTCATGCAGGACCAACAAGAGTCGGATAATGAGGATGTTCCATCACATCAGAACCCATCTGATGGAAGCCCAGGCCTTCGCATGGGTAGCACTTCAGGTACGGAGTCCGGGTCCGGAAATAGGGCAGGTAAGAGGGTGAACGGTAGCAAAAGGAAGGGAGACAGTCCCTTCGAGGAGCGTTTTCTGGATATCATGCAGTCCTTTTCCGAAAATACAAAAGAGAGCTTGAACGGGATTGCTTGTAGGCTTGGGTTTGAGCATGAGGCGGAGAAGAAAAGAAATGTCGTGTTTGACTCATTGTCTAATATGCATTTCCTATCAAAAGAGGATAAAATGATTGTCACGATGCGCTTATGTAAGAATCAACAGGAGTTGTCAATGTTTTTCAGCCTATCCATGAAAGATAAAGCTATCATTGTGAAAATGATGCAGGATGGACGTTTGTAGTTCGTTGGAAATGTATAACACTTTTATGTCTGATGTGGGATGTTGAAACTTTGTGTGATGGTAGGACTTGCGAATGATTAATGTTTGTTTTGTGTGTTGAATTTGCCTTTTGAAGACTTTCTAGTTGATGTGCTTGTTTTCATTTTGCTTTTGAAGATATTATTGATGTGTTTTTATGTTGGACTGTAAAAAAAACGTATTTGGATTCTATATGTATCATTGCAGTATTTATGCATTAATTCTATAATGTATCATTGCAAACCTCTTTTTTTCTATTTTGTTGTGACTACAATCAGGGGATGGACAACATGGATGTTGACGGTGACGGTCCTCATTTCTTCAAGGCTGTTCAGTTTCGTACGCTCCATACCATGGTAAGATAGCCTACTTTGTGATGTACATGCATAGCATTTGAGAATGTTTTACAGGGAAATATTTACGGAAATGTGTATTGTGCTGAGGTTGTACTGGGCTCAACTTCACCAAACAAGCTTTTATCTGCATTATATTTAGCAAAAAAAATAAAATATTTTAGCTCATTATATTTGTTTGGTTTAATATTATGTAAATAAATAAAATCCATGTTTACTGGTCTATACGTCAAAGTTTTTGAATCTTATGTGTTTTACAAGATTCTTGTCAATCTCTTTGGACTATTTTTCATATACTTGATTAAAGTCAAATTACTGAAAACCAGATATTGACTTCTCTTTAACTTCTTCAATCAACCTTGTGACTAATTACTTCAAAACTCCGAGCTTTTATCCTTAAATTAATGTCGATTTGTTGTAGTTAGTTGTAAATCTTTGGAAGGCAGTAAATATGACTTAGGAGCTAAAGGGATCATATAACTGAATTCTGAATTTGAATTTTAGGTTTGTGTTATCCTCCAGTTATTTAATAATCTGGAATAGTTTGTCTTGTCTACTAATATTTCTGATAATGAAATGTCAATTTAACTTTGAATATGGCAGCATTTTTGTGACCGGACCATATATGCTTTCTTCTTTGGCAGAATCTTCCACTATTAATCAATGAGATATATGTTGATGATTTTAAAGGTCCCACTTCATGTAGATTTTTTTGGGGGTTGGACGCATGATGAGTATTTCAATATACTCCATCAACTTGTCGTATTTGGATTTGTTGACAGTCAGTTATTTATATAGATTAATATGTGTATATGGACATATATGAACTTATGTGGTTATGTCGGCTATATGAACTTATGTGGTTATGTCGACCAGTACTGAATCTCCTACATTGTATTTAACTAACACTTGTAACATCCATTTGCGTTTGAAGGCATTCCCGCCAGCAACACACCACCATTACCGTGGTGTGGTGCTGCCACAACGGTGCCGTATCGAGACTATCGAGGGTCGTAAATACGAGGCGACATTGGATATGGTCAACAACTGCCCGACATTAACGGATGGGTGGAGAGATTTCATACTTACAGAAGACATAACCACAAACTACTTTTTGGTGTTCCGTCCCAGGACCATTTTTGATTTTGAAGTGTTGGTGATGGAGCCCAATGTTTGTGAGAGGCTACCACATTACACGTTTAGTCTCGAGATAAAGCCAACTCATGTGGAGCGTGCTCGTCTGGTACGTTGTTTGATGTAATATTTTAATTTCATTAAAATAACATATTTTATAACATTGTCTTTAACGTCTATTATATATTAGCCAATCCCAATGCAATTCTGGAGGGATAACATTGAAGGCAAGTATTTGAATTACAACTCCGCAATATTGAAGTTTGGTGACATTTGGTATGACGTCGACATAATACATGGACATGGGAAGAAACTGTTACAGAATGGTCGTGCGCGACAATTCATCGATAACAACGACATTGTTGTTGGTGAGGTTTGCACGTTCTTTCTCCTCCCACATGATGAAGTCATAAAATTCAAAGTCAAAATGTAGGGGAAGTCTAATATGTAGTGGACCTTGTATACTCGGGTTGATGTTGCAGACTCTTGTTGGTGCTTATTTGCGAACTTTGTTTTTTATTTATTATGGATTTGTTGACGATGTTGGAATTATGGATTTAATTAGCTTTTATTGACGATGTTGGAAAAATGGAGGATTTTGGATATCGTTTGTATATATTTTGGTTGTTAATGCTTTTCGATTATATTTTGTTAATGGGTGCTAAATTACAAACATTACACGGGTAAATACGAACATAGCACACAGGAGAAGGAGACGTATGGAATGCAACTTCATAACATCGACAAGCAATAACACCGACAACCAGTAACACCGACAAGCATACACTAGATAAGACAAGCATAACATAAGAGAAGTGAACATAGAATACCTAAACAACCCAGACGGAAACTACTACGTGCTCATCAAAACCATGACAAACAAACTAAAGAGTACAACCATAAAAACACATTTTCTGGTGAAGGGGCTAGTACCACGGCCATTCAGGCGGCGTGAAGTCCATAGGGGTGGCAGAACGTCAGTACCACTGCCAATCACGCGGTGTGAAATCCATAGGGGTGGCCGAACATGCAGTGGACGAAGAATTTGGATCCACTTCATCCGCACGGCTATGAGTGGAGTTGTAGTATGTCGGTTGGTTGACAGATCCATCAGTTGACCCAGTCTGGCTATGGATGGACTGCTCTTGTTGGCGGGGCTTCGAAGTGCTACCCAAATAGAAGGCCGGACGTGGTGGTTGTTTTTTACGTGGGATGTCGGTTCGAACAGGGTACGGCACTAACCTACTCGGAGGGGCATGTTTTGGGGTGTAGTCCTCAACATCAATAATTTGAAGATTTTTATTGCGGCCATTGTTTGCATTCCTATTGGGTTCATTATCACTGTCAGACAAGATATGGTACTCGAAAGGAGGTACGTACGCCGGCTCCACACGAAACAACTCTACAATCTTGTCATGCTGCGGATCACCTTCCATCATGTACGCTACTGAAAAATCATCCCACTACATAAAAGATAAAATACATATTAGTTTGTAGCTCTAAGGTGTGTGTAATAAAGCAAATGGCAAATCATTGACAAAACTCACATCTACCAGTTGGTACCAAGTCTTGTCCGAACAATGGTACTTGTTTTGGCCGGCGTCGTATTGCACACCATACTTCACTTTAAGGGATGTGGACACATCATGTCGTTTGGCTAAATTATCAACGCGGCTTCTTATGTACTCCGTCGAAAAGCTCTTACGATGATACGAATTTATTGCTTTCGTAGTATCAACGAGGGAGTCAGTATTAGCTGCACCAGGAACAAAGTGACCACACAACTTCTCATCAAGCAAACATTCGATTAAGAAATCATCAAGTTTTGGTGTCCAATATAGGTCGTACAGGAAGTCAGCCTGCACTACACCAAAATCGGGAGCCATCGCAAATTATGAAAATAAGCTAAGTAATTTATTTTTACGAAATCTAATCTTTCACAACTTCCCTCTCTTTTGTCTGAATACGTTTGTTGTGCAATGGGTTGTTTATATAGGAAAATATCATGATTGCGGATATGTGATGCATTGTCTGACATGTACACATGGTAGACATGCTCGTGAAGCCTTCGTCCTATCTACTCAGCTTTGCAGAATAAGCTTAAGCGTAAAAGTAGACCTGCAACCATGTGCTGATGCTAAACAAGCTCGTGAAGCCTTAGTCCAATCTACTCAGCTTTGCAGAAAAAGCTTGACTCCACATGTAGACATGCAACATGTTGTCATAGCGCGTGCTAACAGTTATAAATATTTTGAAAGAATAGTTTTGTTGAATGGTGAATTAACCCTTTACACAATGACAGTTGTGCGTAAACGTTGACCAGTAGCTTTGTTGTTGGTTGGGGAATGGTCATGCAAAACAGCTACTGTATGCTCACATGCATTAACTTGTACGCATGGGTTCAACAGCAAAAGTTACTTTTACTTTTATAAGATGTAACAGCAAAACGACGGTGAAACCAATTCCAGAAGCGACAAGCTTTTTTATGGGGGCAGGTTAGATATGCACATGGCTAATGAAATAAGTATGATGCATGTGTTTCTCAGCTGTGTGTATTGGATTACACCTTCTATTCACATATCCTGCACACAGAATAGTACGTACTTGCTAGGTTCAACACTCTTTTATTGATTCAAAACGCTTTATCATCAATTGACATATCTAAGGTCCTTTAAAAAGGGACACAGATATAACAAAACAAAAGAAATTTAATTCAAACCACAATTGAACTACATAATGCTGTTCCAGATTATAAGACGTAGAAAGTAGATGAGTACATAGAAGAGTACAACAAAACTAAACAAAAACCTAACACAAACCATAGAAAGTAGATACATATTATTATTCTTATTTCATGATAAGCATCCATACGATTAAGATTACAAGTAAAAGCACAACAACTTTGGTCTTCTTCTTCAGTTGTGCAATTTCTTTGTCCAGTTTCTTTATTTTTTTTCATGTACATCTCCTTCTCTTTGTCCTCAAGTTCAGTTGCAGACTCGACATTGTGGCGATTTGTTGCAGCTTATAACCGGTTTATTTTTCTTAAGAGACCGGGGATTATTTCTTTTGATCTTGCACACATCGGAGGATCAAACCAATTCCAAAAGCGACAACCATTTTGGGCACAATCAAAGTACCTCCTTCCTGGGTTCGTGGTAGTCCACGAAGTTTGCAGACGAGCAACTTCACCGCAAGTACAATAGACACCGGCTACTCTTCTTGATGAACTTGAACTTGAATAACTCATGTTTTTGTTTCCTTGAAAAACATTTTAACACAGGGCTTGTAAACAACAAAAATGCAACAAAAACATAAACTATGCATCATTTGGAAAAACAGAAATTGTAGTCAAGGAATAGGCCTTATAAACCGAAATATAAAAACCTGCAAAATAGTGGATTCAAACATATCAAACAAATTCTCCTCCCACAAACAGGCCATATATCTCTTTTTCATAGAGGCACAAACAGGATACCCGTGCACAATTAAGGATGGCAGCGGTTCGGGTTCGGATCGGATGGAACCTCAGGGCACCCAAAACCAAAACCCAAACTTAAAAACCAAAACCAAAACCAAAACTGTTTCGGGTGAAAATCCTTCACCAAAACCAAAACACGCGGATATCCAAAAACCAAACGGATACCCAAAAAACCAAAAATATTATAATAAAACACCAAAGACAACAACATAAAACATGATAACGCGAGGAGAGGGAGGTGTCACGCACGGGAGTCGGAAGAGGAGAAGAGTTCGGTCGGCATTTTTTTTTAGTCGGGATGTTGGTGGCGGCGCGGCTGTTGGTCACGCAGGCACGGGAGAGGATAAGAGGCAGAGGAAATTTCCACTTATATAGCTAGGGTTTTTGGTGGGCTTTTTGATGGGCCGTCTATTTTGGGCACCCAACGGAGCACCACGGGCGAAATATAGGATCCGCACCAAAACCGAAGACTTTCGGGTACCCGAAACCGCAAAACCGTGGGTGAAATTTGGAACCAAAACCGAAAACCGCAGAACCAAAAACCGCGGATATCCGAACCGAAACCGAACCGCTGCCATCCTTATGCACAATCGCAAAAACGCAATGAACAGGACATATATTAGTTTTCCCAACTTTAAAGCCAATCAACAGAACATAAAAAATGAGCATAGACCTCATAAGATCAAAGGTCGGGAGTATGATAAATTCATGTACAAAGCATAGAAACAGAGACTACACATTATCATCGGCCATGCCTTCAACTTCCTTACACTTTACTATGCTTGTACCTCATTTGCAAACACAGAATAAACATGACTAAAAATGAACAACCAAGTACCGCATTTTCCCTTTAATCTTCCATCTAATAAGCATGCCTTCAGATCATTTTGAAACAGATAATAAAACATCATTATACCTGAGCGCACATTTACCTTGTAAAACAAAATGGAAGAGAAAGCTCGATTCAAGACTTGGGTGCCGGTGTCGACGAAATTGGATTGGGGGCTCGCGGCTCTTGGGATGTATTCTCAAACAGAGGGTTCGGTAAAAAGTTTCGTCTTCTTTTTGCCACTGTCTCAACCACGAAATCCTAAGAACGAATGAAATAGATTCGTAGATTCTCAATTCAAATGCAATTATAAAAGGGACGAAAGGGGAAAAAATTTGCTCTTGGAATCATATAACAAATTCGCATGGACAACCGAGTTATACCTCGTCAAATAGTCGTGCTCTTCGTCCTCATTTTTTCAAATCTTCGATAGGTGAAACCTGCGCCGCTTCGTCTGCGACCGACTGCTCTGCCACCTCAAACGCCTTTACTGCAGAGACGACAAAGCTCACCACCGTGGCTTCTGTACTGTCGAAAATGTAGAGAAAATGTAGGATTCAAATTCAAAACTAGGGTTCGTCGATTTGGGTCGATGTTCTTGAAAATTGAAAGAGGAAGACAAAAAGGTGAAATACATATGTTAATTGAGAAGGGTAAAATAGTAACATACCTTTTCAGGTTTAAACCACAATACATTTTAATCATGTCAGGTAAACAGATGATAGGATTAGCCTAAAACCCTATCTTGTTTAGTAAACAGGGATAGTATCTGACGTGGCAAATTTGGATGGATTGAATAATCTAATCCTTTCTTCGCTAGTAAACATTCTGTAAATGTATAAACAATATTATTATTATTATTATTATTATTATTATTATTATTATTATTATTTATACATTTTTATGTATTCCGAGTACACAATAATGTTAGACAGGTTGCACGTAAGTGACTATTAGATTGCACAAAATCGATCGAAACCGTATAGACTAAAATTTTTGTTTCGAAATTTTATATTATGATCGATTGTATATTTTTAAAATTTCAAAATACTAACTACAACATTATAAATATACATAATAATTTATTTCGATTATTTTGGTTAAATCGTATAACTAGCCGACTAAATCAAACATTTGTGTTCGATATTAATTTTGATTGTGATAAAAATACTATCGGTTCAATTAATGTTGTGCATGATATTAACGACCAATGTCATACACGATATTATTAGATAAAATGCACATTAATGTCTCAAAGGTCTGCATATTAACTGTCGAAGTCGTGCACGATATTGTTAAATAAAATGCACATTAATGTCTCAGAGACTGCACGCTATAGCGATGAATACTGATCGAAATAAAATTTTTGCGTAGAATTTTATATGTCAGATCAATTATCTTTTTATGTTTTAAAAATTTGGTTATTATGGTTCAATGTTGGCTCTATTTATTTAAATTTACTTATCAATATTTTATATTTATTAAAATTTTAATAATTTAGTATAAAAATATTTAAATCATTAATTACTTTATATTAAATTAAAGTTTTTTTTTTAAAAAAAAAGGAAATAAATCCCAATAATTGGTCTAATTTTTATGTACCCACACCAAATCCATTTCATCCCCAATTTGAGTTTCTCGATTGAGCCCCAAAAAGAATTCACGGCGTCACCTCCCTCGTACCTTCAAATCGCCGCCGCGAATCGATTATCCGTTTTCCGGAGGTGCTCGATTCAGCCGACGGATCTTGTTTGTCGGAGGTGCGCGATTCAGCCGGCGGATCTTGTCAGTGGGACCTTGGACATCTGAATTCGACCGGCGACACACGGAGAGGAGATGGACGGCGCGGACAACATCGGCGACGAATATTGACGGAGATGCTAGTGTTGGCTGGAGCGGCTGAGAGGCTAGACGTCAGTGGTGGATAATTGCACACGGTGGCTGTCCGGCGGCGGGTTTGTTCGCTTCTATGGCAGGGCTGTTGATTGCTGGTGTCGATGGCGAGGATGGTGGTGGTTGTTGGCTTGAATGGTGGTGGTCGGAGCTGCTAGATGTCGGTGGTGGATAATTACAGACGGTAGTTGTGCGGCGGCGACGTGGCTGTGCGGCGGCGGATCTGTTCGCGGTTGTGGCCGGGATGGTGGTGGTTGGTGTAGATGGCGGGGTCGGTGGTGTTTCGAGTCCGCGGCGGGTCTATTGGTGGTTGGAGGCTGGAGTGGTGTTTGTTGGGGGCTGAGCTGGTGGCGGTTGGTGGCGGGGCTGGTGGAGGTTGGTGGTGCAGCTGCTGTTGGTTGGTTGCGAGAGTGATAAAATCAGCCGGTGTATCGGTGGCGGTGGTCGGAAGTCGACTGCCAGAGGTGGTGGTGGAGGTGAAGGTGGTGCATCGGCTGGTTTGTGTATGTTGTCTGCTGAGTTCTTGAGGTGTGTGTGAGTGTGTGAGAGAGATAGGTGTGGGTTGTGTGGGGCCCAATAGTTGATATGTAAAACTTGTATTGACTAATATATCCTTAATGTGTGGTCAAATGAATATATTTGACTTACTTAATTCTAACCATTGATATGATTGATCTAATGGTACTAATTCATTCTTAGAGCGTGTCCTAAGAACGAAGCGAAGCGAAGTTCAGCAATCCCGATTGGGACACATATGATGGCTACAACCAGAATCCAGCTGCGTTAGACTTCACTCTCTGCGCTGGAATGGAGATAAAAATTGCTCCAACCCTACGCTACATATCTGCGCTATTGGAGAGATGTGAATAGTTTTGCGCCAGATGTGGCACAAAACTGTAGCTCCCACGCTACTTTTTTATTTTTTTGTTTAATGTATTTTAATGTGATGCTAATGATAAATTTTTATATAATGTGTATTAATAAATGTATTTTTATGCTAAATAACTTTGTGTAATGTATTTTTTATGCTAAATAGTTTTATTTATTGATGTATTAAAATAAAAATAAATAAAATATATTTTTATTATTTGGGTCATAAATCTTTTTTATAAAATTAAAATATACATATATATATATATATATTAATTCATATGAAATAAAAAATAAATAAAATATATTTTTATTATTTGGATAATAAATATTTATATAAGATTAAATATACATATATATATATATACTAATTTATTTGAAATAAAAATGAATAAAAAAATAATATATTTGATGTAGTGTAAAATGTAGAGATAAGGGCTGGAGACGAATGTTTCACTCTACTCTAGAGTAGAGTAAAGTTCGCGCTAGAGTAGAGATAACGGCTGGAGATGGCCTTATTTCTTTCACTATTTACCATTCTCATTGGATCCTAATTCTATATAAGGATAAATGTTACATTAATATTATTTAGTTATGTAATTAATTCAAAAATATTTAAACAAATTCAAAATAAAATATTGTGTCATATTATGCATTATATTCATTTTTAGAATTTGCCCTATCTCATAAGATTGTGTAGTATGAATTTTTCAAAAATAATATTCATTAATTCTAAAAAAAACATGAGTAATTAGATAGTATTATCGTGAATTTTATGATGGAAATTTTCTAATTAGAGTTTTGAAATTTATGGTAATAGATATCTTCAAGATATTGTGTTTGATTTTTTTTTTTAAATAAATTAACAATTTAGAATTGTTAATGTACAAAAAATAATAAAAAAAATCTAAATTACAAAAATGTGGTGTTTTCGTGTGATTATTTGAAAAAATCTATTTAAGTCGGGATTTTCAAAATTTTATCTAATGAATTATTTATACAGTCCATAGAATTTTATATTCTTTCCAAACTGTACTTTGGATTCTTTCTGAACTGTAATAAGGTGTTGAAGTTATATAAATATGGACACCCGTGTGATTATTTGGAAAACTTTGTTTCATCGGTTGTATAGGCGGGATTTTTTTTTTAAATCATTCAATTATGAATTGCAATTTAAAATTTAAAACAAAAATAATCTATAATTTTTTACCGTAATTAATTATATATGCTACCAATAGCAATAAATTAATTATCATATACATTAAAAATTTAATATGCACATCCCATAAATAAATATTAACCATATTAAATAAATAATGACATTAAGCATATGAAACTTTATTATGTAATAATAAGTTTATGAAGTAAAAATATTTACTTGGTTTCAATTTTTTTGTTAAAGGTTGTCACATAATGCAAAAAAAAATAAAAAATTAGATTAATAATTTCTTTACAAATCAAATCCAGTAGGTTTATTATAATATTTCAAAAATTATATGCAAATTATTGATATCCCTATAGATATTATTA